GGAGCAGTGGCGGGGAGGGCGTCACCCTACCCAGAGTTGCCTGGAACAATCCCAGGGAACAAGCCTGCCCAGGAGAGGGTCGAAAAGGCCTGGTGCTGACAACCGGAGCTCAGAGCTCCTTGGGTATAAAATGATGGTACTTTCCTGAAAAAAATTGAAAAAGACAAAAAAACCTACCTTCAATCCTCAAACCCCGATTGAAGTTGTTGTGTGGTTGTGTGTGTGGTTTTAATTAGCAAAAAGGCTGGTCATAAAGCAATCACGTCTCTTCTTCTGCCAACAATTCTCCCAGTTCACTTGCAGCAATTAAAGTATAAGAATAAAAGTGCAGGGTGCAGATGGGAGTGAGTTCCAGAAGATCCAGGGGGGAGAGAGTGCCATGCCGGGTTCAAGTGTGAATTCTGCATAGCGAACCAACACAACCCAGTGAATACAAGCCCTTCCTCAGAGTCTAATGGAACACTTCTGTTCTTCCCTCAAGAGAAGGGCAGGGAGAGGGGAGAGAGGAATGGCCAGCTCCAGCAGGGCCATAAATCCACAGTCAGAAGAGGGAGCACCTGTAGAATATTCCCACCAAATCACCCCAGCTCTAAAATCCAGAGACACACTCTTACCTTATCATTCTCCATGCACGTCCCCCTCTTTACTCATGAAAGCAACACATACCCCAGACATGCACAGTGTCCCCAAGAGCCACAAGGAGTTGTAGGGAAAGAAACTGGGTGCCTTCCTCCTCTCGGGAGAACATCATGGCAGAGAGTGCAATCCCAGCCCAGAAGGCTCATGTGATTTCTTTTTTTTTATTTATTTAAGTTAGAAACAAGCTTGCTTCACATGTCAATCCCAGCTTCCTCTCCCTCCCCTCCTCCCCATCCCTCCCCACCAGACCCACCAAGCCCCCCACCCAATCTCCAATCTGATCCTCAGGGAGGGTGAGGCCCTCCATGGTGGATCTCCAGAGTCTGTCATGTCATCCAGGGTAGAGTCTAGACCCTCCCCCAAGAGTCCAGGCTGAGAGAGCATCCCTCATCGTGGCATGGGCACTCAAAGTCTGTTTGTATGCCAGGGATGAATACTACCCAAGGCCCCATAGATTACCTAGGCCTCCTCACTGACACCCACATTCAGGGGGTCTGAGTCAGTCCAATGCTTTCCACACAGCCATCAATCTGGAGTCCAAGAGCTCCCCCTTGTTCAGGTCAACTGTTTCTGTGGGTTAAACCAGCCCAGTCTTAACCCCTTTGCCTATCAGTCCTCCCTTTCATGAGATTTCATGTGCTTGATTGCAAACGGCTTTGTTTACAATAAGAGTGAGTGCTGCATGGGGAGAGTCAAAGGGATAATCAGACTAGAATGGCTGCCACTGACCATGTTTGCACTCTGCAAACCATGCAGATGGGCGGGCTCTCGCCCAGGCATCCAACACTTCCTCTGGGCCCATGGGAAAAGTGAGGCATCCCTCCCCCCACCCAGATGCTCTCCCAAGGTGTTGCAGCAGAGTAAATGAAGGAGGAGGGCAACTGCTGTTTATTGAGTGTTAAGTGGGTGCTTTACTTAATCCTCAAATTATCCCATGCAATAAAAAAAACTCATCACCCCCACTTTATAGATGAGACGACTCAAGGTCTCACCGATAAAGCGACTTGTCCAAGATTACAGAACGACCGAGTGGGAGGACTGGATCTGGAAGGGGAAGCCTGAAGACTACATGCTGTGGGGAGCATGGGTAAATATTCCAGGGTGGATGCGGCCTTTCGGGCCAACGGAGGAAATCAAGCGACACAAGGCAAAAGGTGACAAATGGTGACAAGTGAGCAATGACTACGGAAGCCCAGAGGGACAATCTGACACCAGCAACTAGGACACCACCAAAGAGGCTGCATCAGAAGGGGCCGTAAAAGGTGGACAGAGCCACACAGAGGAGGCCTGCGGGGGGAAGGGGAGGGGAAGTGGGGGAGCAGTGGAAAAAAAGACTCAGCGAAGATCTGGGTGTCCCAGAGTACCTGAGAAATGAGCAAATCCGTGAGGCGATGACCACACCACCTCCTGAACTGCGTCCCTCTTCTTTAAGATGACACTAAGGCCTCTTCAGAGGGTGCACTCACAGCTGCCCGTGCCCTCTTGAAGTCCTTCTAGCTGGGGTATGGTGACCATGTTTCCCTTCCCGCTCCTGGCCCTGGCATTGTGTCCCACTGTATCCCATCCGCCCTGGAGTGACAGGGCTCTCACTGTCACCCCGGGCCAGTGTGGCTCCTCTCCAATGGATCCCGGGAGGTAGTTCCGTCACCCCCCCATACGGCACTGAGCGGCCTGCAAGTCACCCCAGTCTATGTGTCTGTAGCTCCCACAAAGCTTTGCTCGTCTGGGAGGAGGGGCATCGTTTCCTTCCCCGGGAGCTACACACAGCACTTGGTACACACATGGGAAGCAGTGAGCAGGAGCGAGCAGGGTGGCTGCCTGAAGAAAGGAGACAGAGGCAGAGGGGAGAAGGGTGTGGGGAGGAGACAGGATCAGACGCTGCATTGGGAAAGAAGGAGGCCAAGGACACCAAACTGGTTTGTCCAGTAGTTTTATGATTCATTTCCAAATTGTGCGCACACGTGCGCGCGTGTGCATGTGTGTGCGTGTGTGTGTGTGTGTGTGTGTGTGTGTGTGTGTGCATGCACATGCAGACATGCATGGTGCATGTATAGAGGTCACGGGCAAGCTTTCAATGGTCAGTTCTCGCCTTCTATCTGTCGAGGCAGAGTCTCTAAGCTGCATGCTCCAGGCAGCTGGTCCATGAGTATCCAATGGTTCTCTTCTCGGCTTCCCATCCCACCGTGGGAGTTCTGAGCTTACCAGTTCACACCACCACATCCGGCTTTCTTCCCTGGCTTCCGGGGATCAAACTTGAGTCATCAGGCTTGGACAGCTAGCATCTTTTACTTGCTTTTACCAGCCCCTTGTTCAATGCTTTCAAGGAGAGAAGTGATACCTCGTTGATCCAATGGCAGTGAATGAACATGGGGAGAGAATTGGTGGGAGAGACAAGGTGACTCTTCAGATACATTTGGTGACAGTAGAGACCAGAAGTGAAAAGACAAGAATACTGCTATTTCAGTCCAAAAAAGAAAAAATGTCCCGGGGAGGGGATAGAGAAAGCACTTCCAGACTGTTGGAAACGCAGACACACACTCTTCCTAAAGCCTCCCGGCATTCCACGAAGACAGAGGTAACTGCTATGGGCAGGTCCGGGGAGCGGTGAGACACTGCCATGTGCTCATAGGAACTCTCCAGAAATACTCCATAAATAAGCACTGGCAAGAACACCCCAGGGAAACCGCCTATTACATGACTAAGGATCTGAGAAATCTCTGCCCATGGCCAGGCAGAAACTGTGACAGCCAAATCTATCACTGGGCTTCTGGGAGCGCTTAGATTATGGGCTGTGGGAATCTTTGGCCATAAACTTTCGCCCAGCTGCTGCAGTACCTGGCTGTGCAATTAAGGAGGAAGCTTTCAGGCACATCAAAGGGCTCCATGGGGTGATCTCAGGAGGCTTCCTCCTCCCTGTGAGGCGGGCAGGAGTCAGGTCTCATTATCCTTATTTCACAGATGAGAAAAGTAAGGTCCCTGATGACTAAGTCCCTCGCCTCAAGTCAGCCAGCCAGCCAAGGGTGGGACCCAAAATAACCAGATCAGTCACCAGAATGGCAAGACATCATCATCCAGAGCTCCCCGTGACACAGCAGGTGGTTGTTGCTGGGAAGTCTGGGTCATGTATTGGGGGGGGGGATCCGCAGGGACTCTGCAGCCTCTCGGAACACACAGACCCTTCCCTGCACACTCATAGATCTCATAGATTCACACACACTTCCTGCACACTCATAGATGCACAGACCCTTCCCTTCACATTCATGGATGCACACATAAACTCCTCCTGTCACACTCATGAATGCACACACAGACTCTTCCTTGCACAATTATAGACGCACACACACTTTCTGCACACTCATAGATGCACACATTGACTCTTTCCTGCACACTCATAGATGCACAGACTCTTCCCTTCACATTCATGGATGCACACATAAACTCCTGATGTCACACTCATGAATGCACACACAGACTCTTCCTTGCACAATTATAGACGCACACACACTTTCTGCACACTCATAGATGCACACATTGACTCTTTCCTGCACACTCATAGATGCACAGACTCTTCCCTGCACACTCATGGATGCATACATAAACTCCTCATGTCACACTCATGAATGCACACACAAACTTTTCCTTGCACAATCATAGATGCACACACACTTCCTGCACACTCGTAGTTGCACACACAGATCCTTCCCTGCACACTCATAGAAGCGCGCATGGACTCTTCCCTGAACACTCACAGATGTGGTTGGTATGTGACCTCCTCAACAGCACATACTGACAGCCTTCACATGGCATTATCTTATGAAACCGAACACTCAGCGGACAGCCCTAACCAGCTGACTCCTGGGTTCGCACAGACACAAAGCATTTCAGAAAGTGCACACAGTCTTAGTGGCCACCCTGTAGAACATCCCTCAACTTGAATGATGTGGTTGCCTGTAAATTGCGGTTACGTCCTTGCTATTCCCGGGACACAAATGACTAGAGACTAGCCCCATGTGAGTGAACTGCAGATACTCGGAACACCTCTTTCTTGGAGCTGCTGTGAGCATTCAAGGATGTAAGCAGGCCACATGCATAGCATGTAGCAATCACACATGAGGCATAGCATGTAGTAATCACCAACAGGCGTGTTAGCAGTCAATATCCAAGAGCACTGATCACACAAGTGATTCAAGTTTGAACAGTGATCCATCCACAATCTCATCTCTTCACAGGAGATTGGATGCGAATTTTCATATTTTACCAGTTTTCTCTCATCCAGGCCAAGGAAGTTCATTCTTATTATTTGTTTTTAATAATATTTATTTATTTTTGAAATTATAATGCAATACATCATTTTCCTTCCCTCCATCCAAATCTTCCTGTGTGCACCTCTTGTTCTATTTCAAATTTCTGATTCAAATTTCAAATTCAAAGCAATGATATATATATGTATACATACATATATATATACATTTACATATGTATATATATTTCTAAATACGTCCTGCTCAGTCTGTATAATGTTACTTGCATGCATGTTCTCAGGAATGACCATTTGGTATTAGATAACCAATTGGTGTTCTTTCTTTGGAGGAGACTATTTTCCTCACTCTCAGCATTGCTTAGATTCCTGTATAAGAAAAAAAAATTAAACACCTGGAAAGGAAAATACAGGAAATGTGGAACACTGTAAAGATCAAACACTCTAATTCATGACCATCTCAATTATCTATCATGTTTGGAAAAAAGATGACTTATCAGGCTTGATCCAAAGGACACTTGGCAGAGCAAGAAGCTTCAGAATCGCAGCCATGGGTCCCGCTTATGGGGGCTTTGAGGGTCCCTCTAGGCCTCTCTCCAAAGGCAATCTAACACACAGCATCTTTGTCCAAGTATTGTTACAGTTTTCTGACCCCCCTGCGACCCCCCATTTCATCTCCTGTCACAGACCGTAACTCCCCTCAGATATTAGGCTTGCACCGTGTGTGTCGATATTTGGCCTTCATCCCAACGGCCCATCCACGTGCCAACTACAGTCGGGTGGTCATTTGCTACCTCTCCCTTCTCTCCCCAAGCCCCTCTATCTCTTCATTTGAGGTCTTTGTCACTAGAAAGGGTGTGGGAATCTCTCATGGAAGATGGGGGAAATAATGTTTCCAGTAGTGACACTGACTAAGGAAGGACTAAGAGCGAGCATGACGATCCTCTAGAGCACGAGCCCTCTCGCCACCAGGTGGGGGTGATTCCAAGATAGCAACTCTATTATGCCACCATGACTGCTCAGTATAATTAAGTCCCAGGAACCCACAGCATCAGCTGACTCGGTCATACACCCTCTACATGGCTCCTCATCTCCTCACTGGGACTTCCTAAGGTCACCTCCAAATGAATTCCTGCATCCCTGCTCAGGGTCTTCTTTCTGGAAAATGCAACCCAAACGTGGTCCTTGTGTGTTAGACACTCAGATAATTTAAGTGTTACGCAGATGTTGACACACGTGTGGAGAGCTCTCAGAGCAAACCAACTGCCAGCTGTGGCTTTCCAGTCACAGCTCAGACTTCCTTCCAGTTACCCACAATGCTCCAGGCATGACAGACTTTCTCCTCAGCTCTGCATCTGCCAGTGGCCTTCTGGCCCATTAGCTGCTGACTGGGTCCTAGCATTGTGGGTGCTGTCTCCCTGGAAAGACAAACAGAATTAGGGAAAGGCTCACTAGCCAATCTGAACAAATACAAGTTTGCATCATGTCTTTATTTAAACTTCGATGATTTGTTTATTGCCACCAACCACTGGCAACCATTACTGAGTCATGCTAACACGATCTGCTCCATCCTTGTTTGGCATAAGTTTGTGAAATTATTTGTTGTTTCATGTTACATTGAGGCTGAAAATCAGGCTTTATGCATGCTAGACAAGTGTTCTTCCCGTGAACCATAGATTCAATGTTAGACTTTTTTTTTAGTTACTGAATTAAAAAGTATATTTATCTTGATGGTTGGATAGAGGATGTGCCCAGAGTACTGTCTTGAGTTATCATACTATTGTTGGCCAATTGGAATGTACTGGTAGAACCTGAGTCCTACAAGAGTATGTGACAAACCACAGCTAAGAGTTCAGAAACAGATTAATTAGGCTCCCCAGTGCTAAGGGGGAGCTGACCTTTGATTGGCCCAGTGTCAACTGTCCACCATGCCCTCTGACCTTTTTCCTTTCAGCTCACAAACTTCAAGGAAAGAGTAGGTAAGGCACACATAGTCCTCAGAAACCCTCACAATCCTCATCTGAGGTGAAGCACACACACACACACACACACACACACACACACACACCCTGACTTGTTCCCTTAGTGGTCTGACCCTCCTACTCACGAGGATCTTCTCCATCTCCGAGTACAACTGAGCCAGCCCTACAGCTGTTGTGTACTTCAAACACAGCCAAAGAGGGCTCTCCCAGGTTCCCACTCAGCCTTCAACTCGCCCTGGTGGCTTTTTATCCTTCAGAAAATGTTTATCAGTAACGTACAAAGATAATTTTTTAAACAAAAATGTATAGTCAAACTTGCTGTGTCTTGAGGTGGTGTGGATGTCCCCATGTGCCTTCTGGTCAGGGTGTTTGATCTCTTCTGTCGTTGTCTACCTCATAACCAACCACAAACCTGGAGGTTTAGTACAGCACACATCTGTTTTCCCAGTTTCTGTGGGTCTCTTTCAGGTATGATATAAGTGGGTTCTGTGCTTTGTGTCTTGCTGAGCAACAATCAAAATGTCTGACAGGCTGTATTCTCATCTGGAGACTCGGCTGGGAAAGAATGGCCTTTCAGGCTGATTAGGTTATTGATAGACTATAGTTTCTTATAACCATTCCATTGAAAGGTCCTGGCTTTTTGTTGATGGTTGCTAAAGGCCATCCTGGCTACTCAAGTGTCACCTGAATTTCCTTGGGCTTCATTTCCCAACAAGGCTGCTAGCTTTTCCCAGTCCTTAAGAAAGCCTGATAAGGCAAGGTCTAATATACCATAACATAATTACCTGAGAGACACTGTGGCCTTTGGCATGTTTTGGGGATTAGGAACAAGCCAGAAATCCTTCAGTTGATCAAAAAGAGGGACTATCACAAGGGCGCAAACCCCAGGACGTAGAGATCACGGGGCCTAAAGTATGTCCCCACGTTGAGGGTAGCCACTGTGCCTCAGTCTTTTCCAATACAGTTCCATCACCAGCAGGTGACAATGACTTCATACTCCTCCCAGCCCAGGTAGGGGAAGGGTCTGGCCCTAGGCACAGCTGTACTTAACCACAATTGTTTCGCAAGTGTGTCTCATTACCTCAGAAATGTTGCAGTGTTTCTGTTAAATTACACACTGTATCCCCGTTTATTTTATGTAAGGATAATTTTTCAAATATCTGATGGTTAAGAATTGACAAGTTTGAAGCCGGGCTACGATGGCACACTCCTTTAATCCCAGCACTTGGGAGGCAGAGGCAAGCAGAGCTCCGTGAGTTCCAGGCCAGACTGATCTACAGAGCGAGTTCCAGGACAGCCAGAGCTGTTACGCAGAGAAACCCTGTTTTGAAACATGCCCCCCCCCAGAAAAAGAAGAGTTCATGTCGCCCCAGTCAGAATGGACATGATGAAGGAAGAGGGTGACAGCAAATGCTGGCAGATGTGGAAAAGGAGGAGCCCTTATTCCTTATTCCCTTCTGGTGGCAATTAAAGGTGTACAGGCACTATGGAACCAAGTAAGGATTGCTCAAGAAACCATAAGGGGAACTATCGTGTAACTCAGTCTACACGAGTCCTGGGTATATACCCCAAAGGCTTTAAGTCAACACACCACAATGACACTTTCACCTCCGTGTTGATTGTCACACTGTAGGCCTGGAACCAGTCTGGATGTCCCTCAGCAGATGAAGAGATAAGGAAAATGTGGTACATTTACATAATGGAATTTTATTCCATTAATTATCCTCCATTAACATTTTCCGATCTGATATTTTAATTTGCTCCCAGTGGAGCTGCTTCAAACCACCAAGCATTGTCTCACTTATTATCCAACAGTAAACAGCTCAGTCTCCCTTGACCTGTGGTCTGTGCCCTGTGCCCTGGAAAACACCATCGAAACTCGACAGAATATAAAGCCTTTTCCCATGGGGTGGGCAGAATGGCTGTGGAAGACAGAGGGTTAACTCGGGTGAGGGAAGTCTACAAAAGATCTGGTTCCGGCTCTCTCTCCAGAGCCAGCAGCTGTGTGAACAGAGTGAAATCATTTCCCGTTCTCTAAAGTGGAATTAATGATAAATGCCTTTCTTACATCACACTGTTATTACGAAACTCAAATTACAGAACCGGAGTGAAAGCTTTGTAATATGTGAGGTTATAGACCAAGGCAGGGATGGAAATCACCAACGCTATCATCATCATCATCTTTACTGCAGGCTGTTATAAGGGAAAACCAATAAAAGTTATAATGCATCAGGCAAAGTCCAGCCAAGTCAACAGAAACCACTCTGAGTACTGGGAACCACAGGAAATTCAGGTAGAAGATGAGAAGGAAGGGAGAGTTGAAAATGGCGAGCAACCCAGGCAGGACAGGAAGAGCTGCAGCCACCCCTAACCCAGACTGGCAAAGCAGCGAGGCAGGACCAGAGGCACCCAAGACCTGGAGTCACTCCCAAAAGAATCCCCACAGAAACAAGGCTGTCTCGGTTGATGGTTCCCAGGGATCAGCAATACCTACTAAATCCACAGTGTGCAAAGAAAGGAGACAGAGCTCTAAGCTGATAAGAAACTGAGGACCCGATGAGCCCTTTCTCCCAGGGCCAACCAGAAGAACTTGACTCCCAGATCTGCTGCTGGCTTAGGACGGCCCTGGCTCCAACATTTAGAACAGCAAGCACCGTCCCTTCTATAATGTAAAGAAAGACAGGGACTCTCACCTCAGCCTCCACTGGGGGCAATACAGAAGGATGTCCTTACCAGACTTATTCACATTGTGACCAAACAGGCGCGGAGAAGGTGCCTGTGGCCATCTGTAATTTATAGAAAGCTATGAGGCCAAGGCTGGACCCTAACATAAATTTAACTGTGAGACCAGCTGGTTGGGCCTTTGGGGGGGGGGCTGGACCTCAGGTTGTCTCCCTTTCTGTTACAAATTATGTTATGCTGTTACTCATGTCTTGGCAGAGGAACATGGCATCTTTAAAAATGTCCCATTTTTGAAAGAGAAAAGAGTTTTGGATTTTGAGGGATAGATTTCCCTTACCCCATTGTGGGCCTGGCAGAACTCTGAGGTAAGTCTGTCTCTATTAAGCACGTAAATCTGTGTACATGTGCCTGTAGGACACGCACACAAACAGTGTCCTTGGGGAGTGAAAATATTCAAGGAGAAGACAAGGAGGGCAAAGGTGTTCAAAACCCTCCCAATGTAGCACTGCCCTTTGTGTAAGACACCTGCGTGTGATGGGGCCCTCTTGTCTAAAGACGTCACCGTATTCCTTAAGCCACACCTGATCTTCTCTCTTTTGATGTGACACCTACAAGCTGGTGTGCTCTCTTTGAGGAAACACACACACACAGAGGCACACGCACACGAACACACACACGCACACACTCACATGGAAGTCAGACATTGACCCCAAAGAAAGGAGAACAAAGGCAGGATTCCTGTGAAGTTAGAAAGAAATGCGATCTAGTAGCTAAGGAAGAAATGGAAACTAAAATAGCTGTCCTTCCCTACAGCTCAGAACACAGAGACTCATTTCCTCAAAACTTGACAGCAGCCCTCCTGCGAGGGGGCCAGAAACCGGTCTTCATGATGCTAGGATCCCCAGGGCCCTGAGATGTAGAAGCTCCCGCCCTGTAGAGGCAGACTTGGGTGTTCTCATCTCTTGCCTCTTTGAACTTGGTGGTGTTTCTAAGGGACTCTGTGTCTAAGGCACTCATGATGCACTGCACACACCAGGAGGGGCCACTTCTACCTGTTGGTGTGACTGGATCCTTCCCAGAGTTATGGAGTGCGCCTACTAAAACACATTTACCACTTGACTCTATGATGCTGACATCTACAAGGCCATGATTCTACCTGAGTCAGTCCCTTCTCTGTCCCCAAAACCTTGTTCAGTAACCAGAACCTCAATGAAACCCTCAGAATTAAGAAGCAAGAAGTTGGAGAAGACGGCCTGTACCCCTCTCAGACACCGAATAAGCAAACGTTAAAGAACAAAACGTTTACGAGAAAAAGCCTACTTCTCGAGTTAGCCCTTAGAGAAGATGTGCAGCATCGAAGTTGACATCTCTGGTTCTGAGATACAAAGGATCTGGGTTTGGACCACAGCGCCACCACTTACTGGGCCACACTGAGCATGCTCCCAAGCTACCCTGAGGCCAAATCTCCTCAATGTGAGAAGTCAGTGAGATGAAGCCCTCAGGTAGGGCCTCGCACGTGGGGACACTTGCTCAACGAATCTCAGCCGTAGCTGAGAAGTTACAGTGTCAACTCAACAATTCAACAGTCATCCTTGAGAGCAAATCTTGTCCACCCAGACTTATTATCCCAGGAAAAAGACTATGCCCAAGACCTATGACGTGCTCAGTAACAGATATGGAGTGGAGGGAAGGAAAAAGAGGAGGAGGAGGAAGAAAGAGGAAGAGGAAAGTGGGGTGATGGAAAAAGAAGGGTGATGGAAGGGGTCAGAGGGGTTTATCTCCCATTCTGCAGTCTCTGCCTTGCAACTCTGAGCTAGTCCGTCTCTCCGTCTCACTCTGTGATACTTTAAGATGAAAAACCCCTTCTGGCATGTCAGTCCAGTGGGGCACAGAGCCCAGGCTCTTGGTTCCGTTTGCAACACTCCCCCTGGGCCTGTAGGTGGTGCTACTGAGTTAGGAAGAAACCAGTTTCTGCACACTCGGCTTCCAAGCTGTGCTCCCAGCAGACAGGCTCTAGGGAAACCTCCTGCTTGTTGCTGCAAAACACCTGAGGCAGTGAATGAGCTCCTTCCCTGCCTACCCAGCTTCTCCCGCTGCCTTCGAAGCACTGCAGATGTGGGGAGACATCTGGCTCTGTCACCCAGGTCCTGTTTCCGGCTGGTGACCTTGTGCAAAGGCGTCTTGCTCTCTTTCACACTGTTTCCAGTCGGCACAATGAGAATTATAATTCTGGATGTGGGTAAGCATAGCAAAAAGCTCACGTCAGTTGCAGAGCACCGTGCCAGGCGCCTGGCAGGGACCAGGACGGACAGCTTCCCGACCCTCCAGGCATTCAGATGGATGCGGTTAACACGGGATACTGAACAGGGTGCATTGATGAGTGAAAACGAAATGACTCTAGAAAGACTGTGGCACTGGGCGCTTCCGCACATATATGCTGCAGGGAGCAGACAAAGTCCCGAGTGAATGTGTGGGTGTGGCCTCTGCAAGGACCCCAATGCCTCAGACTCTTGGCAAGGACCCCAATGCCTCAGACTCACAGGAGTAGTAAAGACCTCCCCTGGTCCACGTGTGGATGTCAACAATGTGTGCAGAAAATGCCCGTGGAGGCTTGCTCCTCCCCGGGGTTTACAGCCTGAGAGTGCTCCCCAACAGAAACACCCACCAAGACCAGTTAAACCACCATCTTCTTCAGCTGTACACAACAAACCCACCCCCTCAACGCAGAGGAATAAACTGACGAGTTCCGCCTGTAACTAGTGCATGTCCATCGGCGGGCATGACCCTCCTGACCTCAGCTTTCCTGTGCCTGTGTCTGCCTGCCTTTTCTTTATTCCCAGCTGCCCCAGTTAGATCAGCCCCTAAGCTGTGCAGATCATGGCAAAAGGACACATTGTTGCCTTATACTTCCCTGGTTTCCCAAAGCCAGATGCAGCTATCCCCTTAAGGAATGCACGGTGCAGAGGTTGCGTCATCTTCCCTCTGCCCTTCACTAGGCTCCTTGTGAGCTACATCTTTTCATAAACACGCGTGGCAGCCATCTTCCATGTCCAGCAACCAAGGCCCGCATGCACTCAGTAAACGTGTGTTTACTGGGATGCAGTCTACTCGGTGCATTGAGCACCCTCTCTGCACACGACAGACTAGGCAGTATTGAACAAATGCAAGGTCCTGGAGGCGTGGCCGGGGCTCAGGTCAGATCATCCCGCTACGTAGGATGCACAGAGTCATGAGAGCGCATGAATACATCCAGAGAAGACTCAAAATCCTAGAAAAACAAGGCAAAAGACCATTGTACGACGTGTTCACCACGCTCGTCTCCCAAGTGTTCTCTGCCCGTGGCCACTCCATCTGTTCAGAGAGCCGGGCATCATTACTGGTCTCCCTTCACAAATAGAGACACTGAGGTTGGGGGGAGGGGACTTACCAGGGCGGCAGTGCCAGACAGAAGGCCCGGGTGCGTGGGTCCCCTACTGCAACGGGCCAGTCTCGTGGGAGTGGGTCCTAGGGAAGAAGCAACTGTGGAAATGAAGACGAGACCCACAGTATGAAAAATCATGAAGAGCTGGCTTACGCCACGTGACTCTGGAGCTCCAGGCCTGGGTGAGGCTGCTGTTGCTCTGGTCGCACTTCAGAGCTTTTAAGGAACAAATTGTCACGATCATTACGGTATACTTGAAGAAACGCAAGGTCTCTCGGGACATGGCTAGGGTGCGGGCCACGGGTCACTACACAAAGCCTTGGAAGCACAAGGCATGGGCTCTCAGCACTCCCCGGGGAATGGGAACCACACAGAGCACATGTGAATGTCTTTAGCACTAACAAAACGTTCAAAGAGCGAAGGCGTGTGATTCAGTGGTCTCAGGTGGATGACACAGAAGTCTGTGGAGAAGACTGAGAAACTGATCTGCCCTGTGGGGCACTGAGACTAAAACCCATCTTCAAAGCCTCCTCCCCCAGGAGACCACACAGTTCTAGAAGGCTCCCTCCCGGGGCAGGGAAGGTCACACCAAATTTCTAACCAGGGAAAGGGAATGTCCCGGCCACTTCTCCATGTAACCCCCAGCCCTCGGGAATCTGGGCCACCACAGAAAGACCCTCAGGCTTGGCGTCTTATTAATGAGCCTGTGGAAGATCCTTCCCAGCTCCCACAGAGCGTGGAAATAACTCATGGTGACAGAGCGTGTTTACGTGGGACGGCTGCCAAATGTTGGTTTCTTCAGCCTCAGTGCTCCCTCTCGCTCCACTGACCAAGCAGGGCCTGGGAGGAATCTGTTCGCCATGGCAGGGGCCATAGAGCACCCCAGATGCCGCCCCCAACTGCCAGCAGCACCTGTCCCAAGCAGGGTCTGTGAGGTCATCACCATGGCAACCAGGGAGGTCATTTCTCCCTCCTAAGCTCATGAAGGCCTGAGGGGGCTTTCAGGCCCCTGGTACATTTCTCAGAAATATGCTAGAGAGGCTTGGCATGAGCTCAGGGAGAAAGCTTGTGAGTCAGCCTGCAAGTCAGTCAGTCCAGCATCTCCTTTCTCCCTCATCTAGATCCATGACGGAACCTCAGTGCCCGAGTTCTCACAGAGGGATCCGAAGAGGCAGTAAGGAGCCCACCATCCCTGCCTCTACCACAAAAGACGGACTCACCCATCAAACGCAGGACAGGGTCAAATACATCACAGATGGGGCAAAGACAAGCCATCGTCTCCAATTTGAAACCGTCTGAGAGCCTTGTGACACCACCGTCAACACAGTGTGGCATCCAGCTCTGCAGGTGGTAAGCTTGCGTCTAAGCCCAGTTTGTGAGCGTTTTGGTTTTGCTTTTTAACTCAAGCGTGTGTGGAGGTTAAGAAACAGCTCACGGCATTTGCTCAAATGTAGGCAGCAGAGGGGTTGGCTAAACTGAGGACGGGTTGCTATCTGACAGGACTATATAAGAACGCTTCTGAAGATCACACAGACTGTGAGGTTCACTCCGCTCTTGCAAATGGACGTCATCTTGTTAAACACAGCTGTTATACTGAGAAATGATACACTCAGGAGCAGCTTACAGAGGACATTAGCGATGTTCACATCCACACACTTATGGGCATCCAAGGACATGCATCTTAAAACACGAGTGTGTGTGGTCAGTCATTCCTCGTGGAAGTTATGTTCCATAGAACTGCCATGAATATTTTAATTAGCGAATCATTAAACCATTGCTCCAAGGGGGAAACAGAGAGCTAGACTCCCCGTAGCCTCCGGTCATAACATTTCATCAACCCATCCAAATGCATCTTTATTTTATGTGTTTTCATCAATGGCGTCTTATTTAATAGATCCGATGCATTAACACTGACTCCACGGGCAGCAGCACTGTCTCTGGCTGGAAGAAGTTCATCTAGCACACACATACTCACTCTGAAAGGTGCATTGCAGCTTCTTCATGCTTAGGAACCTCAGACAGCACTTGTGAGGGCCACCTCACCCCCAAAAGAGAACACAAAGGAGTGTTCAAAGCGTGGAGCTACATGGCCCACAGAAAGAAGGCTTGACGGTAGGAACCAACGCGAGAGGCCTGAACACTGCCTTGTTCTACGTCCCCAGGAGCATGGGTGTTGTGTGAGTCCAAATCTCGCTGGCCTGCTGAAGCCCGTGGATGGCTGAGAAAGCGATTTGAGAATCTATTTGGGGGACTACATATAAATAGTAGCACCCAGGAGACTTTGAAAATAGAGAATCTGTGCATAATAAAAATTGTATGCATGGGCATGTATTTGTACACATATAATATTCTATATGATTACTATATGAGTATTAAATGCATGAGTGTGGCCCCAGGTTGCAGGCTCCCAGGGACCACCTTCTCCGTCTGTTCTAGGAAGCCAGTGGCCCACTGAGTTGGCCTTGGTGGCTCCAGAGGGCAGATCCAGAGAGGTGTCCCTTAGCAGAAGCGTTGTCACCAGAGCTCATACAAGAAGCACTTTGTGAGCTCCGCCCCCCCGGGAGTGGGTGGGGGGTACGTCCAAAGCACCTCGTGATTACCTTCTACTTGGAAGTCATCCTTCCAACATCCTTCGAATCGGTGTCAGCGAGGTCCTGTCCACAGGTCACCCGGTGCCTGCTCCTTAAAGCCCACCCAGGCCTCAGCCTCTGACCTCGCTCTTCCCACAGCCTCACTGCTGCACACAGAAGATGGAAGCCACCTATCATGCATCTCTCTACCTGGGTTCTGAGCTCCAGCCCAGGACTCAGCGCCCAGAAGCCCTCTGAACACAAAACCACAGAACATTAGACATGGCCCAGTCGGGGCTCCTCAAAGCGAGGGCCCTGAACAAATCATTATGGTCAGAAATGCAGGTTCCCAGACTTCTCCATATTTCTGCTGAATCAGAACTTCTGGTGTGTGGAGGGAGGGGGTTGACATTCTGAACTGTAACAAGTTTTCCAGTGTGTTCTAATAACACCTATTATAGTTTCAAAGCTCTGTGTCAATTATGAACACCTCACCACACTTTTCTAGATAGGAAATTCAGCAATAGAACCTGTGTCCTCAAGGTCACACGGATAGCTAAGGTTAGATGTGGAACCAGAGCCCATCCCCCACCTAACAACCCACGACAAGGAGGGCTCTCACAGGTGCCTCCTGGAACTCAGTCTTATATAATGTATCTCAGGTCTCTCACTCAGGGCTCCCTCCCTTCCTCTTCTCTCCTCCCTTCTCTCCTCTGGCTCCTTCTCCTGTCTTCTGTCAATCCTTTCTTCCTCTTCTCTCTCCAAACCCCATCTTGAGGAAATAGCTTAAGTTTTATGTGAGCCCAGTTCCTTCACATATGAAGTAGGAACACACACACATATACAGACACACACATACATAGACACAATGCACACACACACACACAGAGACACAGAGACACACACATACATAGACACAACATATGACATTCACAGACACAGAGACAGACACCCACACCCACCCACACACACACACACACACACACACACACAGACTTACATACACACAAACATTTAACAGAGATGTGCCCACACACAGAGAGACACACACATACACAGAAATGCACACTCACACACAGAGACACAAAGACATACACACTCAGACACACAGAGACACGGACATACAAACACAGACCACACCACACACACACACACACACACACACACACACACACACACACAGAAGCTCAGCTCAAGTCAGAGAACCTGTCGCTGCCAAACAGATGTCTGTGGGGTCTTGAACTGGGTGATTTAGAGGAAAAGAATCGAGAATGAAACGCACCCCCCACCCAGGAGTGACACAATCCTTTCCAACTTTCTACCATTAACCTCCTGAGACTGCAGCACCAGCATGAAATATCTCTCTCTCTCTCTCTCTCTCTCTCTCTCTCTCTCTCTCTCTCTCTCTCTCTCTCTCTCTCTCTCTGCACTGGGCAGAGTCACACTCACTAGGTGGATGTTCTGGGAGGCGGTCAGGGTTTCTCAGAATGAGTCATTTTTTCAAAAATAACAAAACCTCTCGACATCACTTGATTTCAGCCTCCTCTTGTAACCTCTTTTGCAACTGCATTCCAAGCACGCCTGACTTCTTTCTCAGGCCCAGGGCAAGGCCCACTCCCTGCTGTAAGCCTTCGCTGGCAGACAAAGAGCTGGAGCCCAGGCCCAGAGCCCAGACTCTGCAGTGGGGGCTGCAGAGGGGACAGAGAAGTCTGGAGGACACAGGGGCAGTAGGGGGAGGGGAAGAAGGACAAGAGATGGGGAGACTAGCGTGGCCTGGACCCACAGTGACTCACTGGACTTTGACAGACCTCGCTCTCTGTCTGCCCCGCCCTAATTGGGATTGACCAACCATCCTGAGAGCGATACATTTGCTCAACAACCACAGTTTCACCCAGCACGGTGCCCTTCTCCGCCACGGTGTCAGATGTGCGTATCCCAAGCTCCCAGGCACCTAGACATGCTCGACCCTGACGCTGACAAGATGGCTGCCACCATTTGCTGAGCCGCGCACTGAGCTGATTGTACCACATCTACCCTTTATTCATTAGTGTCGGTACATAGCTTATTCCACTCTTTCCTAGATGGGAAAACCAAGGCTCAGGGAGGCTAAGCAATTTCTCCAAAGTCACAAAGTAAGTGACAGAGCTGTCACTGAAACCCCTTTGGGTCTGGCCACAAAGCTTACATCTTTTCCCAAGTGTGGCCTGAAGACACAGCTCTCAAGGCCCCTGCACATTCCTCTACTGGGCTTAGCATCGAGGAATGCTTGCCCGCCTGGATCCTGGGAGCTTCTCGAGGCATGGAGAGTGGTTTGTTTCCCTGGACACTCAGCTTGTAGCTTAGTAGGTAAGAGATAAACACAAACTCACAAACCTGACCTCCAGCCCTGAGACTGCAGACCTGGCCGTGCCCCCGCTCCCCTCACACACACACCCTGCCCCCCTACACACACACACCTTAAAAATGGTGGCCCCCAAGCAGCCCCTGTTTCAGCCTAACGCCTGTAATCCCCACCCCTGGCAAAGCCTCTTCACTCTTGGGCTTCAATTTCCCATTTCTGCAAATGCAGAGTTGAATAGGAGAAGCTGGGCAGCCCAGGCTCTTAACACTAATGGTTCTGGCCTGGCACATTGTTTTTTCAGTTGAATAATATATGTTGTCTGAAATGATGAGGTAAAGCCCATTAACCTGATTCACATCATTGACCAAGCTCACTTTTGCTCCAAGGCCCTTGCAAAGCAAGCTGCATAAATCTTAATTCTGCATGGATAAACCAGATATGAAAAAGGTATGCTCCTTCTGTCCTTTTTTGTTTTGTTTCTGTTTTTTGTCTGTTTGTTCATTTGCCTGTTGCTTCAATTAAAAAAATTCCCTCCAAAAAGCAACTCAGGGGAGAGAGGGTTTGTTTCAGCTCGTAGTTTAAGGACAAAAGCCATGATAACAGGGATTCAAGACAGCAGGGACTTGAAGCAGATGGCCATAGCACACCAACAATCAGGACAGGGAGCTAATGCTTACTCTTTCTCTACTTACATAACCCAGGATCCTAGCCAGGGGACATCCCCACCCATAGTCAAGATGGTTGTCCCCCTGTCAGTTAAGATAACCCCTCACAGGCATGCCCCGAGTCCATCTGCCGGATGATTCTAGACTTTGTCAAGTTAAGACCAGCCTTCACACTTACACACCTTACATCTATGGCCCTTCCCCGTGCTCAACTCTAGTGCCCATCACTTTCATGTTGAATCTGCCTCCATACTGGTGTTGCCTGGGCAATGCATGCCTTGTTTGTGTGTCTCCCTCGGTTAACCTCTGCTCCGGGTGGCTCTCAGCATCTGAAGACTGATCAAAAGTCAGCCCAGAGCAGCCAAGGTGACAGCATGACTTCACAGATCCCATACTATGAAGAAACCCTCTCTCCTTCTTGGGGTGCATTAGCATACACCCTCCCTGTGGCCCACTTTATTTACATAAAGATCCGTGACAGTAGCAAAATTAGAGTTCTGAAGTTGCAACAAGAATAATTTTATGGTTGGGGGTCACCACAGCATGAGGAACTTGGTTAAAGAGGATCACAGCATTGGAGGGTTGAGAACAACTGCTCTAGACAATGAGAATCTGACAGATCATGAAGGCCACTGTTGTGATTTCAATGTGGGATGTCCCCCATTGGCTTTGAGGTATGATAGCCTGTTGGCTCTCTGCTTTCTGACTGTATCTCTTCAAACTGTGAGCCTTCCTCCCTTAAGTTACGCCTTTCCGGGTACTTGGTCCCAGTAAGGAGAAAAGCAACTGCTACAGATACCTCAAAACAGAGCTCCTGAAAAACCACTTTGAGCAAAGGGGTGTTGTGGCTCCTTCCTTCAGTGAAATCTTGCCAGAATGACAACAGAAAAACGGTAAGAGGGGGGAAATTACAGGAACTTAACATCTGTCTGGTCAGTCTCTCACCCTGCCCTTGGGAGGCAGGGAGACCGCCTGATACCAGCCCACTGAAGCAACATGGGGTGATGCATCTTGGAGAACCTCAGGACCAGACATCAACCAGCCAACAGCTATGCTTATAGGTCCCCTGTAACAGCAGCTTCTGCTTTCCCAGGGTCACAGAGGTGGTTAATCTTGGCTCTCAGTCTGGCTGGACCTGGAATCAACTAAAAGTCAACACAGTGGCTTTCTGGACACGTCTATAAAACCCACACTAAGAGTCAGTGGCACCTTCCAAAGGCAGTTGGATAAAGAAGATGGGAAAACACATGCTTGCACATGCGCACACACACACACACACACACACACACAACAAGAATAAAATGATGTTGTGGGTGTAGCTCGGTGGTAGCCCACTAGCCTAGCATGTGCAAAGCCCTGGGATCCCTTCCCAACCCCACAAATACAAAAAAAACTTACATAAATAACTCCCAAATATCCTTTGTTCTCTCTGTGGCTGTGGTCACGTTCCTCTCTTTTCTGCTTTAGTTTTCCTATAACAAAATATGACAAATTATACCCATCTCCTGAGGTTGTGAAAATGTATCTATACATTTATACACTCCACACACACCATACACACACACACACACACACACACACACACACACACACACACACACCATACACACCACACACACATAACCAAAGGAAAAGAGTCTACTAATGTGAGGTGTGGCATGGAGGAGTTGGGGCAGTGGATTTGGAAAGGACTGAAGGGAGAAAAGGAAAGGGGAAAGAGACATAATTACATTTTGATTAAAACAAATTAAGTAAATAATTAGGTTATTAAAAACAAATGCCATTGACCCTGCTAAGCACTTTCTGACTTCAGTTGAGAACCATGAGCAATGAGAACACAGTGGGCACCCCCACTACCTCCATCTCCACAGCAACTTCATAACAGTGAAATGTGAGAAGAGACCAAAGTTCGAGTCCCTCCAGTTCATCCTAAAAATAGTTTGTTTCTCTGCTCATTCTACAAGCTCAGCAAGTAGTCTCTAAGGGAACTAGGGGATTGTGAAAGGCGATTTTTCTAAACTGGGGTCAAATGTTCTTTACCCAAAAGGAACTCACAAGGGTGCAGGACTGGTCCAGGGAGAGGTCTTCCCATCAAGCCCAGCCCCAGTCTAGATGCCTCAAAAGCAGGAGGACACTGGGACAACATGTTTGTCACAAAGGGTGACTGTGTCCCTCATATTTGTTCATTCAACTCAAATTGTCTGGAAGCACTGGTGGAAAACTAGACTTCAAAACCAGTAGGGGCAGAGGATTCAAAAGTAAAAGAGTTCTCTTGGCCAAACTGTAGGACAAAGTCCCCATTGTGCTTCAGAATAGATACATGATTGTGATGGTGGTGATGGTGATAGTGATGGTGATGGTGATAGTGATGGTGGTGGTGATGATGGTGGTGATGATGGTGATGGTGGTGATGATGATGGTGATGGTAGTGATGGTGATGATGGTGGTGATGGTGATGATGATGATGATGGTGGTGATGGTAGTGATGGCGATGATGGTGGTGGTGGTGGTGGTGATGATGATGGTGGTGATGGTAGTGGTGATGGTGATGATGATGATGATGGTGGTGATGGTGGTGATGATGGTGGTGATGGTGGTGATGGTGGTGGTAATGGTGGTGGTGGTGGTGATGGTGATGGTGGTGATGGTGATGGTAATGGTGGTGGTGGTGATGATGGTGGTGATGGTGGTGGTGATGGTGGTGGTGGTGGTGATGGTGATGGTGGTGATGGTGATGGTAATGGTGGTGGTGGTGATGATGGTGGTGATGGTGATGGTGATGGTGGTGGTGGTGCTGAGCCACCACATTTTCAAAGCTGCACCTCCATTATTCACTCTTAACCTTACCTTAAGCTAATAAAGTCAATATTTGCCCCATTCTGAGATGGGAAAAAAACCAGTTATCAGACAGAGTCTTCAGAAACTCTCTACCTAGACAGATTGCCACAGGTGCTGGATGTTAGGGAAGCGATCTTGCCTGTAAAAGGTCTCCAGCTGTAAAAACTACACGACACTAATGCTCCTGTCACTTTAACAGACTTTCTCAACTTCTCCTCCCTCACAGAGTTCCCTCTCCCTCAGAGTTCTTTCCTATCAACTTCTCTGTTTCTACTTATCCCACAAAATCTAACGCATTTGGCCTTTCTCTCAAGACAAGGCAGCCCCCTCCCAGCCCCACGTCTGTTCTTGCCACTTTCTTACAAATTTACTCCTCCCTGGATCCTCAAATTCTACCAGCGAATTGTTCTGATTGGCTGCATTTTTGGCTTATTCTAATTGACTACATTTTGATTTATTCTGATTGGCTTCACCTTTCCTTATTCTGATTGGCTGAGTCTTTGTCGTCACTAATCAAGGGAGCTCTCCTCCAAAGCAAATGCTTCAATCATCTCTCTATCTCCAAGATGAGGAGAGAGAAGTAATGACTCCTCTGGTGAACCTTGGGAACCCTGAACCCACCAGTCCTTGCTTGTAGCAAGCCTGTGGGGTACCTGGAAACAATGCAGAGCAGAATTAAACATGGAAGTGACTGAGACACAGCAAGAAAACTAAAACCTTGCATGGCAGCAGAAGCACCCGAGAGCATGCCGCAGAGACCGTGAGCAACCACAGCCAGCAGGAGGGACAGCCTGGGCTTTCTAAGATCTGAAAGTAGACCACACTAACTCTGAACACAAGCTGCCTATCCTCCCTAGCGCACTGCTGGATGACCCAACTGCCACCGAATGGGGACAAAAGCGGGAGTCTTGTTTTTGTAACTTTGTGAGACTTTGCAGGGGAAACCAACAGTTTCTATCACACAGCTTCTCTCTGTGTTCTCTCCTTCCTGTCTCCTCTCTCTGTGATCTCTCCTTCCTGTCCCCTCCCTCTGTGTTCTCTCCTTCCTGTCTCCTCCCTCTGTGATCTCTCCTTCCTGTCTCCTCTCTCTGTGATCTCTCCTTCCTGTCCCCTCTCTCTGTGTTCTCTCCTTCCTGTCCCCTCTCTCTTTCCTGTCCCCTCTCTCCTTCCTGTCCCCTCTCTCTGTGTTCTCTCTTTCCTGTCCCCTCCAGCTTTTCTCTCTCACCCAGAGGAGGAAACAGCCACCTGTGTCTCTTAAAAAGTGTGTCCCTTTCAGAAGCACAAATCAGGCAGCAGAGATTTGCTTTCTCTGAAATCTCCACTTTAGAAATCACTCACTGGTAAATCACTGTCTGGGAGCCACAAAGTGTGTTTTCTGACTTTTCGCTTTGTTTGTTGTTGTTTTCAGAAACCTGGTTTGCATTGTTTTCTCCTCTGAACATTAATGGTTATTAACCTGGAACAATGGTGTGAAACAATAGAGGACCAGCATCTGAGGTAAAACTAGAGAAGGGCCAGAAGGCTAGAGCTACTCTGAAGACATGGCCCCTTCCCACCCAGAAGGCCTCTCTCTACAAATGACTATCACAAAGTATGTACCTTGAGATGGTCCACCAAATGTAAAGAGTCCTCATGGTCAAATGATGCCCTGCCCTGCTCTTCAAGATCTTTATGGCTACTAAGTTATTCAAGGATTCAACATAAAGCAGTTAGTTTAGCTTTATTTTTCTTAATATGTTTAAGTGTGGTGTGTGTGCGCATGTAGACAAATATGTGTGTGCAGGTACCGGTGTGTGCGTGTGTGCGTGCGTGCGTGTGTGTGTGTGTGTGTGTGTGTGTGTGTGTGTGTGTATGCATGCATGTCTATATGGAGGCCCAAAGTTGGTTTCAAGTTTCTTCTTCTTCAATAGATTTCTCTTTTATTATCAAGGCAGGTTCTCTTTCTAGCTCACCCTGGAATCCCCTGTCTCACCTTCTGAGTGCTGGGATTACATGTCACCATGCTTGCCCAGCTTTTACATGGGTTCTGAGGATACAAACTTCGGTCCTTATGCTTGTGTGGTAAGCATCTTGACTACTAAGCCATTTCCCCAGCTCCTGGTTGACCTTATTTAATCCCCTTTCATAAACTTACATTGTAATCAGCCTGTCAGGAACAAATATATTCTTATGTTCCTCACTTTGGCTATTAGACTATTGAAACAATGGACCCTAAGAAACTGGAATTCCCCCAGGAATCACATGCTGGAGGAGGGGAAAGCCTGAAGCCTGGACCAGTCAGAGGAGGCACCAGAAGGAGATTTCCCATATTGACAACTTGTTAGATCACCTTGCTGGAAAGCCTGGAGCCCAGACAGTGATGAACAGGACCACACTTTGACCAGGGCTGCTTAGACTTTGGTCCTCTACTAAAACCTCAACCTCACTTTAGGGCCCCAAAGATAGACGGGAGGATCCGTGGATCTCTTTGGCCCTCTTCCAGTGTGGCTACATGGAATAAATTTCCTCATTCTGCTCTTCACTGTTAACTCAGCTGCTTTGGTCCGCTTATTGAGGACAGGCAGCTGAGCCTGGCTTCTTGGGGAACAGTGACTCTCAGTCTGGTATGAGTATATATAAGTATGTTAAGAGTTCAGTGAGTACAATATGAGTGTGATGGGGCCATTGTCTCTGAGACTTCCTAAAACCATACAACATAACACTTCCTAGAAAGGCTTAAGAAGGACCAACAGTGAGGTATAAGCCTACCCAAGAATCCCAGACCTAGTGTATCCAGGTGATGATCTAGACCCAAGCCTCTTTTGGCTAACAAGGAAATAGAACCTAGAGGAATAAGGTTGGTCACCTGGTAAATGACAGGTGAAGAGTAAGGGTAGCCTTACGACAGTAAAAGTCTGAGTTCACAGGCTCCTAGGGCTGGACCAACAGCCTCCAAAACAATATAGAGAAACCCTGTCTCTTAAAACCAAAGAAAAAAAAGATTGACAGCAATAGAGGAAGACACCTGAATGTCCTCTTGAACTCTGCATGTGTGCTCACAAGTGTACACACACAGAAGGAGAGGTACATATACTACATGGAAAAGGGAGGGAGGGAAGGAAGGAAGGAAGGAAGGAAGGAAGGAAGGAAGGAAGGAAGAAAAGAAGGAAGGAAATACTATGACTATGCCAACATTTGGGAAACGGAGTCAGGAAGATTGCATGTTTAAGGCCTATTTGGAGTCTATAACAAGAGATTCTGTCTCAGAGGGAAGGGGAGGAGAGGGGAGGAGAGGGCAGAGGAGATGTAGGGGGCAGGGACTCCAGTTCCTCAGTTTTCAAAGCCAGAATGGTCCACCATATCTTTCTCGCGTTACATTTCTGCCCCGTCTTCTCTGCTGACACCTCCCACCCTGACCACAGGAAGTGTCTCTGTATTTGAAAATCATGATTAGACTGGGCTTCACCAAGGTGCTTTCTACTGCATCATGTCCCCACAGGGGCCAGGGACTCAGGTGTGGGCGTGTTTGGGAGGCTTTCGTCCTGAAACGACCTTCACCAAGGCCCACGTTGCTGGTAAGGTCCCCTTCTGAAATCTGCAACCCTTGCCCAATTCACTTACCAATGGTTCCAAGACAGTCATTCATCCATCACTCAATGGAGCAAATTAGACAGCTAATGAATCAGCTCGCGTGGTTCTCACCGAGCCAGCCACACCCTGGAACAAGCAGCAGGGATGCATAGGAAGAGAGGGCTTGGAAGATGTCAGGTCTAGATTTGAGTCCCAGCTCTGCCCTTCACCTGGGGCAAATTGCTCAACGTTCTGCAACCTCCCTTTCCTCACCCGGATGCACATGGGATGGTTTCCGTCTCACAGGGCTGTGGAGTCCAAACACCAAACGCACTTCTCACAGGACTGTGGAGTGAGTCCTCACAGTGCTAAAGAAAACACACTTCTCACAAGGCCCAACCGCAGCAACTCCAGAGCAGTCACGGCTGTTATCACCCGCTGCTCGCCCCCCACCGTGGCACGTGGGCGCCGGAGCACAGGGAGATGTGCTTGCACCTCCTGAGGTGAGAGAGATAGACTGCAGAGCAAAATGGATTGTGGAAATGTGGCAGCAACAAGAGTAGGAGCCTGGCCTCCACCGGTCAGGGGGCAGGAGGCTGAGGTCTCCCTGCACCCAGAGAAGGGGGCCCTGGGGTCCCATTGTCCACCCAGGAGACGCAGACCTGATGTGTCTCTAGGTAATACTCCAGATTTGGGGCTGTTTTGTGAATGTTTATAGTCAGGTGGGCAAAAATTGGCCTCGGTTTCCTAGCCCAGAAGATGGGAATAACAGTTGTTAACTTTCCAAGAAGGCCGGGCGTTGGTGGCGCATGCCTTTATTCCCAGCACTTGGGAGGCAGAGG